GCGGGGTTGGGGGAGGGGGGGGTGGAGGGAGGGGTAGGTGGCGTTCGCTGTGATGTCATGCATGGCAGGTTATGACGTCATGTCTGGAAAAGTGGTGACGTCATGTTTGAAAAGGTTATGACATCATGGTTGGAAAATTGTTACGCCATGTTAGAAAAGTTATGACGTCATGGCTGGAAATTGGTGACGTCATGTTGAAAAGTTATGACTTATGTCTAGAAAGTGGTGACGTCATGGTGAAAAGTCATGACGTCATGATTTAAAAAAGTTATGACGTCATGCCTGGCAGGTTATGACGTCACGCGATCGAGTGGAAGGTCCTGCCTGCCTTTCTAAGAGTCCCTTAATTCTTCGATACGAATGCACACTGCCCGTTCTTAAGAGGTGCCAAGAACCTCTTTTCTTCTACTAAGACCTTATTGTCTTCCCCTAAGACCTATTGCTTCTCCAAGACCTACTTTTCTTCTAAGACTTTATTTCCTTCTCCTAAGACCTTTTCTTCTTCTAAGACTTTATTTCCTTCTCCTAAGACCTCACTTCTACTAAGACCTTTCTTTACTAAGACTTATTTCCTTCTCCTAGAATTTCTTTCTTCTACCAAGACCATGTATCCTTCTACCAAGACCTTTCTTTTACTAAGACCTTTTTTCCTTCTCCTAAGACCTTCTTTTCTTCTACTAAGACCTCATAAGACTTTTTCTTCTTCTAAGACTTTATTTCCTTCCAAGACCTTATTTCCTTCTCCTAAGACCTTCTTTTCTTCTCCTAAGACCTTCATTTCTTCTACCAAGACCTTCTTTCTTTTACTAAGACCTTTTCTTCTAAGACTTTATTTCCTTCTCCTAAGACCTTTTCTTCTACTAAGACTTAATTTCTTCTCCTAAGACCTTCTTTTCTTCTACTAAGACCTTATTTACTTCTCCTAAGACTTTTTCTTCTACTAAGACTTTATTTCCTTCTAAGACCTTATTACTTCCCCTAAAACCTTATTTCCTTTCCTGAACCTTCTTTTCTTCTCCTAAGACCTTCTCTTCTTCTACTAAGACCTTCTTTTCTTCTCCTAAAACCTTTTTTTCTTATTCTCAATCTCGTCTCGGTTTCTACTTCTGGTTAATCAACTTGATTTGTTCTTAAAGTATAAGATCCCTCTCGATTTTTTGAGGTTAATCAACTTGATTTTTTTTTCTTTTTTTGAGATTGAAATTATACTTAATAATGATTAGAAAATATTCCAGACAGCTGTAATTCATGTTAGTTAATGATTACAAAGTAGTTAGCATGACTGATTAATTAAAAATACAAATGAAAAAGTTGATATTACCTGTTTTATATAACAGGATCTCTATATATACAAACAGGTATATAAACGTATGCATTCTCAAGTCGAGTCAGTAAGATCAGTGATAATTTCAATCACTTGCAGCGACAGGGACGTGCAGTTAGTAGTTGTAGTCATAATAAATAAATAAATGAATAAAAATGTGTGTATTTATCTCGGTGTTGACAGCTAGCATGCACAGTCTGTCAACAGTCCGTGCCGTCCTCGTGCAGGCGCAATCTAGCACACGGATCAGCCAAGTGGACGTGTCCTGGCGGTGCTGTGGCCGCATGCCCCCGAGCCTGGTGCCATCCCCACCCCCGTCGCTGATCGGAGCAATCCCGCCCACTTCGGCACCAATCCTAGCTGTCCCCGCCCATGCACCATCTAGCCCCCCGCGGCCACATCGGAATGGCCGCGAGGGAGCCAGGGATCCCTGGAACGAAGGGCCACCTGCAGGTACGGGTCCAGCTCCTGCTCGAGCTGTTGCAACTGTTCCTCGACGTCGTCCTCGGGCGGCGAAGGGCTACGCGCACTCGGGCCCGCCCAGCCGCCCACGCGGGCGCTGGGAGCCTGCTGGGGCCGCGCGCCAGGCTGGATTCCTGCAGGGAAGCGGAGGGGTAACCAGAGCCTCCTTTCGTCAGGGGCGAGGCGGGGAGGGCGCGGCACCCACCGTGCCCTCAGAGGAAGGAGGAAGGTCGGTCACCACACACCAAGGTTCTCGGGGGAGGCACCACAAGGGGGGGAAGGGGGTCACTACAACCCGCACTGTAGCCTGACGAAGGGGAGGGAGGAGGAGGACGAGGCTGTCTGTCACCCTGAGGGACATCGAGGCAAGAGCAGCTGGGGAAGGACCCTCTCTAACTGCGCGTTTTCCTGTCAGTCTGTGGAAGGGGCGAGGTGGAGGAGAGCCAGAAGGGCGAGGGAGAAGGGAAGAGGATAAGGGGAGGACGAGAGGGGAAGAGGATAAGGGGGGACGAGAGGGGAAAGAGGGCGAGAGGAGGAGACAGGGAAAGGCCGAGAGGGATGAGGGGGACGTCTAACTTCTCCGCGCGACTTGTTGTGTTCGCTCGTCGTACGTTATGCATACTGTACATTTACGTTCTTAATACTACACACAAGCATACCTTATTCTCCTACATCATAAATTAGCATAACACCTCCAGTAACAGTTGAAATCAAGACTTATAAGAGTATGCAAACACGCACACCAACACACGCATAACTCAGCCTAAAATAATGCTCACAAATCAGTCACCGCTTCTACTCGCACACACACCAACGCACACAAGAGGAAGCGGGAGGAGGGAAAGGGGGAAAGGAGAAAGAAGAAAATAATCTACCACCAAAATACTTCAAGTGTCACGGTTCTCCAACGCTACAGGGAGGAAGGCAGAGTGTGCAGGGGCAGCGCAAGCAAAAGCAACACAAGCAAAGTGCATCACACGGTGCTGTACTCGGGGATCTCGACGCGGTCCAGTGGCAGGGGATTTAGGAATTGGCTTTAACCAGACATGTGTGCCGTGTTCTTATGCTTATTTTACATACATACACACACTATGTATATATATGGATCTTTCTGTCTGTCTGTCTATATGTGTGTGTGTGTTTACTGCCATCTAGCGGACCCCGCCGAGCACGTCCCTCAGAGCAAGAGCAAAACCGGGTTGCGCCTTCATTCCTGAGGCCGCGTCGTGTCCAAGGGCATCCCACTCGCTAGTGCATCGCGCAGGATGGGCGGGGGCCATGCACGGGCAGGCGAGTGGAAGCAGCGTCATGCAGGGAGGAGCAGTCACCAGGGAGTGGCTCAGTCATGCAGTCTGGAGGTGGCCGTAGCGCATGGGGCACGTGGAGTGAGACAGCCGCCCGCGCGGGGAGAGGGTTGGGTCATGCAGTGCGTGGCGCCCTCCGGCAGAAGGAGCGGCGCCTGCAGTGAGCGAGGAGCAGGACCTTGAGGAATTTGTCTTCGTCGTGGTCGTCGTCCCACATGCCGAGCCTGGCGGGCGCCGTCTGCGAGGGGAACCGCCCCCCCGGCTGGATGCGCACCGACTTGCTGTCGCTGTTGTTGTTGTTGTAGCTGTTGCTCAAGTCGGTGTTGTTGTTGTACTGGTTGTTGACAGTGTCAGACTGAGTCAGCGTGCCGGTGGGTCCTGCAAGTTGCAAGATGAAGGCAACATGCGCCGAACATATCATGAAGGGAGAAGAAGTGTCCGCATGACCCAAGTATACATACAGTTGTCTACACGTCATGTGCACAGTCATGTTCATGGAATCACGTACACAGAGTCATGTGCACCAAGAAGAGCCATCTACAATTCATGTACAAGTTGACATGAGCACGGACTCAGCGGCATGTTACCAAGAATACAAAGTCATGTGCACATGCCAATGTACACGAGCACTGCATATGGCAACGTGCATAATGATGATATAGAAGCCTTAGCGAGGCATAGAGAAAATGTAACCATTGTGCAAAGGGACTTTGACCCATCCCACTCGCACCGGATACATTTTCTCTATCCTAGCGTACCATTCCGCAATACTGTCTCGTTTTTTTCCTCTCACCCTGGCAATATACTGCCTCATCCAAGAGCTACTTGGAGATGCGCAACAGTGAAATGAGACAGGACTGGGAAGTGGGAGACGCAAGCTCTAGGGCGATCTAGGGTTAAGTCAAGGGACAGAGCATTCACTTAAGAGACAGTTCTCGCTTTCGGAGCAGAAGTTCTTGGTTTAAGTAGTTCATGCTGGACAAGTCCTAGCGAGGAGGTTGTTGAGTACTAAGGAGACTACATGGAATGAGGTGGAGATAATGTGATCAAGGTACACTTTGTGAGGTATTAGAGGTTACTACATAACTCTAAAGGGGTCCCGTGATACAACACACCTCTCAAGGAAAGGTTCCGGAACATGAAACAGGGTATTGGAGGTTAGTAAACAAAGGTAGTTTAGGATATAGGATGGCTCATGGTGGAGGATACATCCAGGCGACATTGCCTGAACTACCTGCAGGACACGGAGAACTTGTCCAAGACGTCGCATTAGTCATAAAAGCAGAGAAAGCTTGTAACAGGAGAAGGATTCAGCTGACTAGGAGCGCCGTAAGAGAGTGGACAGGACAGGGTATTAATGCATAAGGCTTGCAACGGAGCACATCTCAACAGGACACGCGTTGCCTACAGGGTCTGAGACGTCAAGTTTATTAGAGATCTTAGACGCATAACTGGCAAGGGTGGATCTATTACAAGGTGATGTGGCAGGCCAAGGGAACACGTCAGACTAACAGCGGGGTTGTAATGAGAAATACAATTATGTCTTGCATGGGAGAAGGGCACACAGCGATGTGGGTTTAACAGGGAGAACTGCTAGAACTTGGTGTGTGTGTGATCGTTGAAATAGGGTCAGGAATCATGAGAGAAGAGTCATTATGGTCAAATATAACTCTCAAGACTGTCTGAAGTTCCTGGTATCCACTGAGACATGAATTACCTCACACTTATATAACCACAGAAGATGAGAATTAGTGGACGAAACTACACTTTTTATAATGACGCGTAAACAGAATTAAATCGGAGAATGACAAAGATGAAGCAACATGACAGCAATGGAAATGGAATCACTAACAAAGACAACTATGCCTGTGTGATTTGGATTCCTCTGTCTGTTCCCTAGTTGACTGTCATCCTGAAATCCCTGTGTTCATTATTGATATCCAATTCCTATCCTGTCGTGTCTGGAGTTTCAACTGTCACAACTTCGTTACAATGTTCCGAAACGAGAGAGTGTTACGCTGACACAAAGAGTATATCGGTGTTCAAGCTGGTGTTACCTCTGTGTTATACTTGACACAAAAAAAAAACTTAGCGAATGATATGGTTATGAAATATGAATTAATTGGCCTTTATGCTGGTGTCTTATATGTGGTGCTAGTCCTAGGCTAGGCTACGAAGGAATCGAAAGCTGAAATACACAAGCGAAGGATTATAGGATGAAACTTGTGGGATGTTGCTGAGATGGAAGCAGAAAGGGGACAGGAAAGTGTTATAATCTTATCTTCCGATGGCATTACAAGAAGCACTAGATAACAGGTTTGAAAAAGGGAAATAAAAGACAAAAACAATATCTGAATGAACTATAAGTGTCTGATGCCTTATATTAGGTGAACCTTAACCAAATGAGAAACCCATCATTAGTCTAAATGTTCAAGGTAGTTCATAAATGTTAAGAAGTTTATGAACACAAGGTGATTGAACAATATCAATGCCGGTTTGGGTGATGGAAAAAAATTGAAATATGGCCAGAATTTGGTGGAATGAAGTCCATGTACAGTATTTCGGACACAACCAAATTCATTCATAAACTACAACACTTTTATTTAGAACATTCTCAACCCTTGAACCCTTCGCCTAAGACCAGTCTCGTTGTATGTTTGCAAAGAATCCTCAACTCTGGGTTTTATTCTCCATCCATGGTGTATTTAATAGTATAGCACGTTTGGCACTTGCTCTGGGTGCCACTAGAAGGGGTACCACTGAGTTTTTTTTTTTTTTTTTCACCTTTTAACCCCTAATGGTCCCCGTAATTTGTTCATTCAAAGATTAATGAAAGTTGACTTGGATTTTTGAACTGACTTTATCATAAAGGTATCCTTTAAAAGGTGGGTTTCAGATATTTAGCCTTAGTAAAAAGGTGGGTTTCAGATATCCTTAAAAAAAGTGGGTTTTAGATAATTATCCTTAAAAAATTGGGTTTTAGATAATTATGCTTAAAAAGGTGAGTTTCAGATATTTATCCTTAAAAAAGTGGTTTTCAGTTACTTATCCTTTAAAAAGTGGGTTTCAGATATTTATCCTTAAAAAAAGTGATTTATCCCTAAAAAGTGGGTTTTAGATATGTATTCCTTAAAAAGTGAGTTTCAGATATTTATCCTTAAAAAAGTGGTTTCAGATAGGTACCATTTATCCTTAAAAAATGGGTTTCAGTTACTTAATCCTTAAAAAATGTGGCTTTCAGATATTTACCCAAAAAGTGGGTTCATCTTATCCTTATAAAAGTGCGTTCCAGATATCTACCCAAAAAAGAGTGGGTTTCAGATACTTAGACAAGAAGGAGGAACCGACCTCAGAGCTTGCCAGAACCCCTACCTATCCTCTGCAGCCACGCCCCAGGGAAGCACGTACCTGGCGGAGGGAGCTTGGTCTTCACGATGACCAGGTCGGGCAGCTTCCACCGTTGGTACTCGTCCTCCCACACCGCTTCCTTCTTGATCTGTTCCACGTTGCTGTAGTTGCAGTCTCGTCGGATCGTGGGTTGTACCTGCAGGAGGAGGAAGGAGGAAGGTGAGGGGTGAGGTTGAGAGCGTTCAGGAGGTGAGGTTGAGAGGGTAAGAGGGGTGTTTGTGAGAAGTGGAGGTGGTTGTGTTACTTCTTAATGCGAGGTGTTTGTGGTTTGTTTGTGATGAATTTGGGTTATGATTTTGTCCTTTAAAACTATATTTTTAATTGTAAATATGGGAGAGGGAGGAGAAAGGAAGGAGAGAAGGAGGAGACAGGGAAAAGAGAGAGAAGAGAGGGGGAATGAAGGGGGAGAGAGAGAGAGAGAGAGAGGAGGAGAGAGAGAGAGAGAAGAGAGAGGAGAGGAAGAGAGAGAGAGAGAGAGAGAGAGAGAGAGAGAGAGAGAGAGAGAGAGAGAGAGAGGAGAGAATGGACACATCCATAATAGAGGGAGAGACAAAAACAAAGAGAGGATGACACAAATACGGACTCAGAAACAGAGACAAAGACAAAGCAAGAAAAAAAGAAGAACCAAAATCCACAAAAGACGTAGAGACTAGAAACACTGAGAAGAAAGAAACAAAACAACCAAATACACGAAGACGTAGAACAAAGAAAAGAAACAAACAAACAAAAAAGACAACCAAATACACAAACAATGTAGTGACACGACACAGACAACAAAAACAAAACAAAGACAATCAAAATACACGAAGACGTAGACACAGAAAAAAAAACAAAAACCAAGACACACAAAAGACACAAAGACACAAGCCCCATAGCAACAGAAAAAAAAAACATGAAACAACCAAATACAACGAACACGCAAAAACAGGAAAAACAAAACAAAAAAACAAGACAACCAAATACACGAAGACGCAGAAACAGGAAGAAAGAAAGAATAAGAAGAAGAAGAAGAAGAAGAAGAAGAACAAAGAAGAACAAGAACAAGAACAAGAACAAGAAACAAGAACAAGAAACAAGAAACAGAAAGTGGAAGAAGAAGAAGGAGAAGAAGAAGAGAAGAAGAAGAAGAAGGAGGAGAAAGAAAAAGAGAAGAAGAAGAAGAAGGAGAAGAAAGGAAGAAGAAGAGAAGAGAGAGAAGAAGAAGAAGAAGAAGGAAAGAAAAGAAGAAGAAGAAGAAAGAAAGAAAGAGAAGGAAGAAGAAGAAGAGAAGAAAAGAAGAACAGAAACAAGAACAAGACAAGAACAAGAACAAGACAGAACAAGAGGAAGAAAAGAAGGAAGAAACAAGAACAAGAAGAACAAGAAGAAAAGAAGAACAAGAACAAGAAGAAGAAAGAAGAAGAGGAAGAAGAAACAAGAAGAAGAAGAAGAACAACAACAACGAAGAAGAAAGAAGAACAAGAAGAACAAGAAGACAAAGACAAGAACAAGAACAAAGAACAGAAGAAGAAGAGAACACAACAACAACACACAACAACAACAAGAACAAGAACAAGAACAAGAACAAGAAAAACAGGACAGCCCCAGAGGAGGGAGACGTCCTCAGGCCCCCCCACCTTGTCGATAATCCCCTGTAGGAGCTTGATCTGCTGCTCCTGCCGGCGGATGGTCTCCAGGTAGTCCGTCCTCTCCTCCTGGAATTCCGAGGTCAGGTCCTGGATCTCCTGTTCCATCGACTTGATCTGTGCGGGGAGGTCAAGCGAGGTCAGAATGGGTTCGGAGAATTATTATTGGGTTGTGGATTTAAGATTTAAGGTTTGAATGGGTCATGGAGAAATTATAAGGTCAGGCGAGGTCAGAATGGGTCACGTGGAGAAATTATAATAGGCATGTAAGCTTTAAGTTTTATAATTCTAAGGTCAAGGCGAGGTCAAAATGGTCCACATTGGAGAAATTATAATAAGCTTGTAAACTTCAAGTTTTATATTTTAAGGTCAGGCGAGGTCAGAATGGGTCACGTGGAGATTTGAAGGTCAAGGTCAGAATCATAATGGCTTCACACAGGATTAAGGATTATATTTGAAAAGTAGTGAAATTTCGAGGAATGGAAAGCTTATATCAAATTGATAATCATTAAGGTGGACTAATTAATAATGATCTTTTTTTTTCTTTTCTTTGATATTTTGTTCTATCGACTTTGGTCTGTCCGGGGAGGGTCAAGCGAGGTCAAGATGGGTAACTTGAAGAATTCTTTCCCCCTCCACCTTCCTTCTCCAACCCCCATCCCCTACTCCCTCCCCCCACTCCCCAACCTCCTTCCTCCCCTCCCTCTCACCCTCTCCATCTCCCTCCCCTTCCCCTTTCCCACCTCCCTTTACTCTCCCTATCCTCCTCTCCTCCCCCATCCCACCTTTCCTCTCACCTCGCCCCACTCTCCCCTATCCTTCCTCTCCCTCCTCCCTCCCCCACTCCCCATCCCACTCCCCCACCCTCCCCCACTCCTCCTTATCCTCCTCCCCCTCCTCCCTTATCCTCCATCCACTCCACCCTCCTTCCTCCCTCCAACCCCCCACCTCCTCCTCCTCTTCCTCCTCACCTTCAGCTTCTGGCGTCTTGGCCAGCTCCGTCTTGGCCTTCAGCTCCTCGTCATAGACTCCTTCTCCTTCTCCCTTCCTTTCCCTTCCTTCTCCACCTTCGTCATCCTCCTTCCTCTATTGTTCCTCCCCCCACCCTCCTTCCTCCCTCAACCCTCCTCTATTCCTTCCTCCCTCCCTATCCTCCCACCTCCCTCCTAACCCCCACTCCTCCTCCTCCTCCTCTTCCTCCTCACCTTCAGCTTCTGCGTCTTGGCCAGCTCCGTCTTGGCCTTCAGCTCCTCGTGAATGTCGTCATAGACTCTCACTCCCTTTCATGACCCTCTCTTCTCCTCTCTTTCCGTCTCCTTCTCCTTCTCTCCTTCCTTTCTCTTCCTTCTCCCACCTTCGTCATCCTCCTTCCTCTATTCCTTCCTCCCTTCCCCCTCCTTCCTCCTTCCTTCCTACCCCCTCCTCCCTCCATCCTCCTTCCTCCCTCCTCCTCCTCCTCCCTCTCCTCACCTTCCAGCTTCTGCGTCTTGGCCAGCTCCGTCTTGGCCTTCAGCTCCTCGTGAATGTCGTCATAGACTCTCACTCCCTTTCATGACCCTCTCTCTCCTCTCTTTCGTCTTTCTCTTCTCTTTCCTTTCTCTTCCTTTCTCCCACCTTCGTCATCCTCCTTCCTCTATTCCTTCTCCCTCCCCACCTCCTTCCTCCCTCAACCTCCTCTATTCCTTCCTCCCTCCTATCCTCCCACCTCCCTCCCTCCTCTCCTCCTCCTCCTTCCTCCCCTTCAGCTTCTGCGTCTTGGCCAGCTCCGTCTTGGCCTTCAGCTCCTCGTGAATGTCGTCACAGACTCTCACTCCCTTTCATGACCCTCTCTTCTCCTCTATCTCCGTCTCCTTCTCCTTCTCTCCTTCCTTTCTCTTCCTTCTCCCACCTTCGTCATCCTCCTTCCTCCCTTCCTTCCTCCCTCCCCCATCCTCCTCCACTCCCCCATCCCCTATCCTCCCTCCTTCCTCCCTCCTAACCCCCACTCCTCCTCCTCCTCCTTCTCCTCACCTTCAGCTTCTGCGTCTTGGCCAGCTCCGTCTTGGCCTTCAGCTCCTCGTGAATGTCGTCATAGACCTTGATCATGATCCCGTCTTGATCGTCGACCGTCTTGAGAGCTTCGCTGAGGATCTTGAGTCTTTTCTCGTGGTATTTCTTCCTCTGTTTCCGCTTCACTTTCAGCTCCTTGTCCTGGCTCTTCTCGCCGCCCACCATCTGCTGTTCCAGTTGTTTCAGTCTGTTTGGGGGGAGGTGGGTGGGAGGGAGAGGGGGAGAAAGGGGGAAAAGGGGGAGGGGGGAGAGGGGAGGGGTGAGAAGATGGGAGAGAGTTAGTTGGGGTTTTTGAGTTTTGGGGGAGGGGAGGGGGATGAGGGGGTTATGTGTTTGGGGGTGGGATGGGGGTTGGGTGGGGGGAGGGGAGGGTGTTATGTGTTTGGGGTGGGTGGGGAAGAGGGGGAGGGAGGGAAAGGGGGAGTTAGTTGGGGTTTGTTTTTGGGGGGAGGAGGAGGGGAGGGAGGGGTGGGTTGAGGGATGGGAGGGGGAAAGAGGGTGGGTAGTTGTGTGTTGTGTGTGTGTGTGTGTGTGTGTGTGTGTGTGTGTGTGTGTGGTGTGTGTGTGTGTGTGTGTGTGTGTGTGTGTTGTGTGTGTGCGTGTGCGTGTGCGTGTGCGTGTGCGTGTGCGTGTGTGTGTGTGTGTGTGTGTGTGTGTGTGTGTGTGTGTGTGTGTGTGTGTGTGTGTGTGTGTGTGTTGTGTGTGTGTGTGTGTGTGTGTGTGTGCGTGTGCGTGCGTGTGCGTGTGCGTGTGCGTGTGCGTGTGCGTGTGTATGTGAATGTGAATGTATATGTATATGTATGTGTACGTGTACGTGTATGCGTGTGTGTGTGTATTGTTTTAGATGCATCGTCTGTATGCGTTTAATTGATTTCCATCTCTTTCATCAAACCCAAAAGAGAACTGGGACACACTCACCCAGAAAATAAAAAAAAACAAAGAGACAAATAAAACAATAAAAAGAAAAAAAAAAACACCAAAAATAAACCTACCTATGCAGGGCTTCCTTCTGCATGGAATTCATCATCTCAGGAGCTCTGGAAAAAAAAATAAATATATTTTCTGGTGTTAATAAAAAACTTTTTTTTTTTTTTGTATCTCTTCAAATAAAATTATCTGAATGTCACCTTCGAATTAATTACTACCGTTAATAAGTATCTTTCAAATGTAATTGTTGGTTGAATATCACCTTTTAAAATTATTTCATTTGAGCAATTTCGAAAGAAGCGGTGACATACAATCTGCTGTGAAATAACACATAGCTATGTCTTAATGACGACGAAACAGAAAAAAAAAAAGAGAAAACTGAAAGAAAAAAAGAAAAAAAACATTTAAAGAAACGAGAAACGAACAAAAACAAGAAAACTGAAAGGAAAAAAAGAGAAATTTAAAGAAACGAGAAACGAAGAGAAAAACGAGAAAAAAATAAAAAAAAAAACTAAAAAAAAAAACAGACAAAGAAAACTGAAAGGAAAAAAAGAAAAATTAAAGAAATGGAGAAACGAAGAGAAAAAACAGAAAAAAAACTAGAAAAAAACCAGACAAAGAAAACTGAAAGGAAAAAAAGAAAATTAAAGAAATGGGAGAAACGAAGAGAAAAACGAGAAAAAAACTAAAAAAAAAACTAAAAAAAAAAACAAAGAAAACTGAAAGGAAAAAAAGAGAAATTTAAAGAAACGAGAAACGAAGAGAAAAAACGAGAAAAAAACTAAAAAAAAACTAAAAAAAAAACAAACAGACAAAGAAAACTGAAAGGAAAAAAAGAAAAATTTAAAGAAACGAGAAACGAAGAAAAACAGAAAAAACTAGAAAAAAACAGACAAAGAAAACTGAAAGGAAAAAAAAGAAAAATTTAAAGAAATGGAGAAACGAAGAGAAAAAAACGAGAAAAAAAGAAAAAAAAACAAAAGAACGGAAAGAAAAACCAAAACCCAAAAAAAAAAAAAAAACAATCCCAAAAATAATTTGCAAAAAAAAACTGACTTGTCCTGCGCCGTGGCCTTCGCCGCCACGACAGCCTTCCCCTTCAGCGGCCCCTTCTGCCCCGGCGCCTCCTGGAGGAAGATGGTGTCCTCCGGGTCCCCGTCCGTGACCTCCGGCGGGAACTGCTGCTGAGGAACGGACCCCGGTGCCTGCTGGGGGGCGGCCTGGCTCTGCGTCTGCTGCAGGAGGAGCTGCTGCTGCTTGAGGGCCTCCTCCTTCTGCTGCGCTCTCCTGGGGGTGTGGGGGGGGGGGGAGGGTTGTTTAGGAGGGTTGTTAAGGAGCTTTTAGAAGCGGGTGAAGTCTTAATAACAATAATAACAATAACAATAATAATACTACTATTAC